GATACTTTTGTGGATTAATTTATCGAAACGTTATCCATCCTTGATTTTCTTGTTAAGAGCTTCATTATGATGAAAATTGTGTAATAAGTTATTTACATTTCAATAGAATTTTTGAGTTTGGTGTGTTTTTTTCACATTGGAGTATTCTTTAAATGCATAGAAACTGTCGTTCAATTATTATAAGTTCCTTGAACTTCTGTAGGAATTTTTGATTTATTAGGTTTTGCATTTGCAAAATCCTGCAGAACTATGACATACCCCCAAAACCAAACTCAAACATAGTCCAAACAATATTCCAACTGGAACTATCAATCCAGTGAACAAAATCATCAAAGATTCTGCAGAATCATGACACACCCCCAAAACAAAACTCAAGCCTAGTGCAAACAATATACCGAAATATCTTGCAAAACAATGGCACACCCCCAAAACCAAACTCAAACATAGTCCAAACAATATTCCTGATAACTTACTACTAATTTCACGTTAACCCAAACCCAATTAGAACTATCGATCCAGTGAATAAAATCACCGAAAAATCCTGCAGAACAATGACACACCCCCCAAAACCAAACTCCAGCCCCCACCAAACACAATCACCAAAAAATCCTGCTGACTGATGACACTTCCCTCCTCCTCTTTAACCGTTTTATTACGCCAGCCCGTGGAATCGGGCTCGATATCCCGGAAAGCTTCACTCGTAAAAGAAGAAGAGCTCCTTGAACTCCGCACGACGGGGGCGGTACACACCACCGATTGTTCCTCGAGGAACCAAGGAGAAAGAGAGAGAGAGATAGGCTGAAGGGTGATGGTAGATAACCGTGAAAGAGAGTGAATCTTTTGTATGCGGATGGCGGGCTCGCGAGCGGGGGGAAAATACCGTCAATTTACTCGAACTCGGAAGTACCGGTTGGCTCTAGACACGCGAGGTGTGCGCTCGATCCCTCTGCTCTATGCACGGTCCTTAGATCCTCTCGTAAAACCGCGTCCGTAGTGGTCCATCCGCCAATGGCGGTGAAGGCATGGCGCTCGAGGTGTGAATTATACATGAGAGAATATATCCTTCCATACTCCGTTCTCCCTCTCCCTTTCACCCCCTCTTCGCAACCCCTCGGACTGCCGCCCTCCTTTCGTCGTTTCCTCGCCGATCTCCTATCCCTCTATTCGACCCTTTGCTAACCAATGGTTATCTCTTACCCTTATTTGCGCCCCCATCTGCATACGACCATATGCTCGTGGGTATGCAAAATGTATCATCGTATCGTTCGGACGCGACTGGGGGGAGGGGAGATATTTTTCGAAGAAGTTCGTCGAACGACAACTTTCGCACGCAGTCTGGTCTCATTTAATGATAAATAGACTGTGGATGTTTATGCATTCATAGCAAAATTTAACATGCGAAATGCAGTGAAATGAAGATTTTAGTAATATTTAATTACACTAATATGTTACTATCAACATAATAATACATTTAGTACAAGAAATCAATTTCTATAATGATTTCTAAATTAATGTCTAAGATTCTGAATTTGTAGAAACGTCTGCAGTCCAACGGGAACTTTTGGATGTGGTGGATCAAATAAAATCTTGAATTCAGGAGTTGTTTAACAAATATTCTTGGTGGTGGTTATTTTATATAGGGGAGACCCGGATATAATGGTAGGTTGAGTCAAATGGCGAATGTTATTTTTTGTTTCTATTGATAATACACGTGGAATTTAATTCGGCGTGGTAAAAAATTCTAATATAACTTAAATTCAGAACATATTCTACTTCTTTTTTTTTTGTAAAAATGAGGTAAGCTAATCAAGAATGAGAATTCATGTCACTTAAGTAGCACAACCCTTTTGATTTCCTGAAAAATGATTAGGTACACCTAATAAAAAGATATTAAATAATAATTAACTGGATTAACGATTCCTCAATTCAGTAAATTTTCAGAACATGTAATACACTGGTGTTAAATGCCAAATTCATTGGAAAGATATTAGCGTTAAAACAGGGAAATGGAAGTTGTTTATGGCTCAACTGAATATTTTTCAGGGGGGCAATCGGTGAGAACGATTTTCGCGTGCAATTCCGGCCGGAAATCGGCAAACTACGCTCATGAAATCAAATGAAACTAACTTACAGTGCCATTTTCTGGGCATCGTTTAGTTTCATTAGCGTCGCCGTGCCAGCGTCGGTCTGCGAGCGACGGCGCGGCGTCGGTACGTCGGTGTATACAGACCGGCGAGCGTGTGAGTACACGTGTGCAGCTAATTCTTTCTCTCCTATATACGCCAACGCGATACGACGGTATCTCTCGCGATCGAGTCTGTTCACCACTGTTCGCTTACGAAATAACAGGAAATTGAGAGAAGAAGCGAAATTACGCGAAAATAACGATAAGGAAAATAAATTTGAATATTGATATTGGAACTTTATATTACTGTCAGATAAATTTCTGTGGTAACAGGTGTAATTGTTACACGAAATTGTGAATATTTTTGCAATTTTATAATGAGAAATATTGGAATTGAAGTGATCAGTGGTAAAAATAAGCTGTTGGAAGTATAAATAAATAATTCACTACTTTATTTAATAAACTGGTAGTGTACGGTGATGCGATAGGACGATGCCTTTTAAGATCGAGTCAGTTCAATCTTTTTGCTTGCAAAATGACAAGAAGTTAAGCGAATAGTGGAATTATACAAATTAATAACGAGGAAAATAAATTAATATTTTATACCCAACCCAGACCTTTGGTTAGAGAATGTCTGCCGCCTAATTTACAATCAATGAAAAACAATTCGTACTCTGACAATAATTACGAATAAAAGAGTTTCAAACGATAGTGTGCAAGGGTTGATGACGAGGAAATCTCATTAGTATTAACCAAGACCGCGATCGTTACTTTCAGGAACCACTGTTTGAATCCTACTCGTTGAAAATCGACGTTATAAACGCGTTACGGTTGTCACGGAATCGTAACAACTTTCCGGAATGACTTTTTAATTACTTCGGTTAACGCCGATAACGCGTTCGGAAAGCTCATTTCGATTGAAACTTGACATTATACAGCGAGATTTGAATTAGTGCAACTACGGATAATCTACCAGATTAAATTGCACTAATCCAATCTCTATTATTTTCAGTTGGCGTGCGTCTATTCGAAGTCTGAATAATTGGAAAATCAGTGGTAATGAATTTCCTTGCAAATTTTCATGAGAAAAGCGATTAAAGTTCACTCGACTAATCCGTTGCATGATACAATTTGTAAAAATAGGAATAAAAAAATTTCCATTTTAACGTCTCTGTAAATAGAGACTGTTTTGCACTGACTCGGTTTCTATTATTTTCAGTTGGTGTCGATTCACTCGAGATCGGAATAATCATTCATCATTAAGGTTCACTCTACTAATTTGTTGCATACTTCAATTTGTAGATTTGGAATAAGACCCTGTCCAGTTTAACGTTTTTCCAACAGAATATATTGCACCAACTCGGTTTCCCCTAATTTCTGTTTGTGTCAGTTCCACTCACGATCCCAGCACCTAATAATTCGCCAACAGAGTTCACTCTTCTAACGTATCGAATCGGCCAGTTTCACGAAATATCGTCGAGGTAACAGACACCCCGCGATTTGACGTCTCTCAACCCCGACTTCGTTCGACAAATCCGATCTCGAACAGTATTCAGTCGGTGTCGGTTCACTCGAGATCTCGCAGCATTAGTCTCTATCAATCGAATGAATGGAGTTCCACGGTCGAGGCAACGGCTCCGTCGGTGAATTAAATGCTCTCTCACCCCGTTGGGAACAGAGGGTTTCGTACTCCGTTAAAGCGACAATTAGTGCCCTAATAAGGTCATTAAGCGCCATATATTCTGCGGCGACCTTCCCTTCCCGCCTCGCACGGATTAATTTCCCGATTATACGGGAGCTATTCGCGCGAGTAAGGTGGAATATAATACATGGCGTTAATTAAATAGAAATTAAACACGGAAGAAAGGAACTCGACAAGAAAATAAGGGGATACCATCGCGTTCTTGACCATTGTCGTTAAAATTCTTTCCATTAAGTAGCCCCTCAGGTAACAGGTTGCATTAGAACGAACGAACTCGTGAATAAATTACCGTCTTAATTTACTAGTAATTATCGAACGTGAAAACCAGACGGCAAAGAAGACATGCGGCTCCCGGCTAAATTGGAAATTAACGCACGCACCGTTAAGATCGTTTAACGCGGTATTAAGCATCCCCCGTTTGCCCTTTCACACGGCTATCGAGCAATCGCTTGACCGTGACACGCCTGCACGCATTATAGTGCAAGCAAGATTACCTGAATGTGACACATTCGATACCATTGTCTTGCGCGGCCGATTATAGAGGGCGCATTCTGGATGAATTTCCATTGAATTTATGGACGAATTCGATGCATGGTATACGGAAAACTGGTTCTAATAAGCATAGCTCTGTGATTTTAATTGAATTTAAATTATTAATTATTTACCGAATTTACAGACGAATTCTATGCATCTTGAATAGAAAAAAGGTTCGAATAAACATACCTCTGTGATTTTAATTGAATTTGAATTATTAATTATTCACCGAATTTACAGACGAATTCTATTCGTTCTATTCGTGCATAAAAAAATGGTTCTAGTACGCGCAGTTCTTTATATAAATTATTGTGGAGACATGATTACATTTAAAATAAAACAATCCAATATGGCTGCCATGCATAACAGTACAGTGGCGTTTAGAAATACATTGGGTCTTCAGATTATTGTATAACAACATCTGGGTAGAAAACTATACAACAAATATTTACACCTTCTTCATGACGAGTAAACGTTTAAATAAGTAGAAATTGGGACATTTACCATCCAACGAAATAATTGAAAAATCGCGTCCTGTATTTTCTGTAATCGCGTCACCAGTCCCCGAATGGTATTACAGACAGAGAGGGGAATACATAAATACCGTGAAATCTTTCAAAATAAAATGAAATCTCTTACCTGAGAGTCCTTCAGGCCGAGCTTCTCGGCGAGTTTCTTGCGATCAGGCTTGCTTATGTACTTCTGTATCTGAAACCTCTTCTCAAGGCCACGTCTCTGAAGATCAGAGAAAACCGCCCTACGCATCATCCCCCTGCGTGGCTTGCCCCGCGCGTTCGTCGCCCATGGGAACACCAGACCTGTTCCGGCGAAGTCGCCCAAACCGCCTTGGATCGCGCCTGGGAACGCTGTTCCGCCCCCTGGCGCACCTGGATGATGACCTCCAGTCCCGGAACCAGCAACTGGATCGTTAGACACGAAAGTTTCGTTCAGATTTAATTACAATTTGCAGTTTACTCCTAAATTACTAAACTATCCTGTTACTTATGTTATTACTAATCAATCGTAAAGAATACGACTGAAAGAAAACACGTAATATTTTAGAAAAATATTATTTTTATTTAAGATAGAAACCTACGTTATGCGTATTGATGATAGCCAGACTTAGAGATAATGAAACCCAGCCCTGTTCAAAATATCTTTCGGTTGAAAATTCTACAACATTTGAAAGGAGTTAAGAATCCTAAAAAATGCTGAAACTGCAAATTTCCTATAGAAACTTAGCAATCTAAATTTACATTTTCATTATGAGAATAAAGAAATACGAAATTGTGTAATTTCTCGAGAAATAAGAAATTAAAAACTGTACTTTCTTTCGAGAAATTCTCAAGAAAGAATTCTTGAGAAGGAGCACTACCTCTGCGCACAGAAAAAGCACTTAACCGCAAGAAGAGCACATGCGCTCGAGCAAACAGGTCCGAATTCCAAAAACCATTTTATTCGTCCAAGAAAAGAAGAACGAGCGTCAAAAGCCGAAATTTATTGGTCGTACATCAAAGAGCGGCGGGGGGATGGTTGGAACACGGTAATTGAATCAAAATCATCTAATAACGAACGGGCAATTGAATCCCTAGATCGTATCTGTGTACAATATTGCCAAGCTGAGCGTGACAGCATTATCTGCGCCCGATGATATTTGCACGCACTTGTTGCATGCATGCGTTTCCTCGCTTGTGGCGGTGCATGTACATAATATGGTAGTGCTTTCGCTGCACTTCATATGCACTCCATGTCCCCCATACGAGCCTACCTATAACAAGATATTCGATAAACCGCCCCCCCCCACCCCTCCCTCATCCCTTCCCAACATTGCACGTGCCTGCGTTTTCGTACGGTTTCGCGCCGTGTGCGGAAGTTTCGGTTTTAAACGTTCGCCGGGGACCGTGTTTCCGGTTCTCCCCCATTCCGTTTGTTTATTAACTTTACCCCCGCCGCACCGACGAACTCGAAATAATAATGACGAAAATTTTCACGAAAATTAATCGACGCCCCTCTACCCACCTGTTCCCCCCACATTTTCGTATTCGCTCCAACGCCTGTCCGCGACGAGAGATCGCACGATTGAATAAACCGCGGATTTATTTTGTCCTCTGGTTCGATATATACTTCGTGTACAGCGTATTTCTATTTATCGGATGTGAATATTGTAATAATAATGGCATATGCTGTGTTCACTGTTGTCAATTGAAATTTAGTTATATTTGTTGGAAATTTCAATGAAATCTAGGATAGGGTAAACGCACCAATTAATGAATGTTTAAGAGACTTTGTTACTCTTGAGGTCGAATTTTAAATGATAATAATATTAACACTAAAATTACCAGCGTTGAATGTATACTATATTAAATTCTGTAATATAGTAATATACATAATATACTATAGCACAATCTAGCATAATACAGTATAATACAAATTTGTATGGTAAATTAAAGGCAAACATAAATTCCAACAAAAACACTAATTACTATTTCAATTATCGTAAAATAAGAAATTTACAATTTGAAGGATATCTAGCCATTAGGAGCAGAAGAATGGACATGAACGTTTTACGATTTTGTTTTTTATTGAAAAGGATAAAATATTTACCGGTTATATAAGGTCCTCTGTAGAACAATTGCTGAAGCGTATGGTGTGCGTTAGGGGGTAAATGACGCTGAGGTGGCTGATGACTCGGCCTGTGGTAGGGATGATAGGCTGCCGGTCTGGCGATCGGTTTCGCTATGTTGTAACCCGCTGAATTCTGCAGGTTCTGGAGGAACGCTGGTATCGCCTCCGGCGGAAGACTTTGAAAATTCTCTGCAACAGTACATTTTTAATAATCAGTAAAAATCCAGACACAGGGTACTTAGAATTATCTTTTTATACACCCTTAACCAGTTGCCCTACGATTTCATTGAACATTATAATGTCTCCAGAGTCACTACCCAAATAGCACATGACACCCAATGACGCCTTGAAGACGGCTTAAAAGTGCCTTAGACCTACAATAGTGGTAAAAAGTGACATAAAAACAAAAATTTGTTTAGTATTGCGTAAGCCCCATTGAACCATTCAACTTTGTCCTCACGACATATGACGTATCTGTAAAAACAACAAAGATATTTGAGGTGCAAACGTTAGGTGATTCACCCTGTATATGTGTTCGTAAGAGAGGAATACACAGAGCCACCTGCAATCATTTCATTGTACAAGCGAAAAATCTAAGCATAAATATTCAAACGGGTATAAAATACCCACGTTATGCATCCTACGGTTAGACCACGTTTTTATTCAATAAACAGTAACTCTACAATTAAATATATCTAACGTGTGTTCGATTCAGTTCTTTCACGAACGTGTTGCTCGTCGTATACGAAAGGCTCGCCGTGATTCTCGCGCGACATTAACGCTCGAGTCGGTATTCCTCCGCGGGATGCATAATCCGAGCTGACACCCCCGACTGAACCCTCCTCAACAGCTTCGGGCGGAGACCTCCTGTTGACGCACGCTCCAACACCTCCGGAGTAAATACTCTCTCTCTGTCGGATATATTCGCCGCCGCGCGGGAATACCCCGGTTTATATTTAATCTTCTGTGGATCCGAGCGACACACGCGTGTGACACCCCGGAATCATCGTACAGGTGACGTAACAGGGGAAAAAAAATATACAATTTCACACGAGTGAAAATTAATCGAAATTGTGTTATAGGAGACCTGTGTAGATCTTTACCTTCCTCTTTAGCTGTATCTTCACGGGCCCTGACCAGAATTCCTGATCAGTTTAGTGTACATGATGTCCCATTTAAACAGACCCACTCGAATATCTCCGAAACTATTGAGGATATTAAAAAATGTTTTAAACGAAAGTTAAATGGTATCAGGGGACACACAAGGTCAACATTGTTTTTTTTAAATGGAAACGTGTATTTTTTAATGCACTACTTATATTTTGAAATTTATACGTAAAATTTGATCTGACAGGCATTTCTATCAAACAATTCTTGTCAAAGAGTCACCGTGACATTTTCGTCTCTAAGTAGCAATGATAGAACTTCTAGCAAGACTTTCAGACAAAACTGTACCGTTTTGATGTTACAAGGGACATCACTCAAATGTAACGCACCGTTTTCATAAAATTTGTTCCAGACTTAATACACTAAAAAAATTGTTGTCACGGTACTTTTTCTTCAGCGTTGACATTGATATCTAGATGGCAAACATAGAGCCCTACAAGTAGAGGGTGACGATCACGTTTGCCTCAGTATATCTTCTATCGTTACACCCTCCGCCACCAATTAGCACATAACCATACCAAAAGGGTTGCATACACAAAGAAAAACAAACCTCAGCAGAATTCATTCAAGAAAAAATCCTCCATCCACTAACCCAAGATATTTCAAGGTTCACAAAATCCCCCATCTCGTTCCCAATCTCCCCCTCTGTCTCCAAATCGCTCACAGTTACTTCTCCCAAGTGATAAACTCGAGTTAATAAGTCCCCGGAGACACAACGCAACTTAGACACTCGTTCACATACACATCAACGATCTCCTGAGGGGGGTTGTCACTCAGACAATTTTTAACACACTTTTTCAATCCACCAACCACGCCCATTGGACCATAGAAATAGGGAGGGGGGGGTTAGAAAGATGACGTGTTTTGGAAATAATAAAATAATGGTCCCCAGGTTTCACCAGGGACCAAGAAGTCGTCCGGGTCAGGAGGAGACACAGAGCCCCCGACAAATGCCCTGAACAATGGCCCGTACGCGAGCCTCCTATTGTCCCCCCGTTTTGGTACCCCATAAAATACTCATCGCCTTTTATCGTTGTTTTCCTAGCCGGCCAATACGAGGAGCGAGAGAACCCCGGCCAACTAATAACGGCTTAACCTCCAACGGAAACACTGAATGGGAATCGTTTTTTCGAGGCCCGCTCCACCTCCTTCGATCCTCCCCTTCTGGATCACCCCGCGCCAGTAACCATCATCCCTCTCTCGATCCGAAGATTAAACCTTGGCGGAGGATACATCCAGAACTGGGTGACGTGTGTTGTTACAGTTGTACAGGCTCCGCGGTTTCATTCTTCTTTTTTTTTTCTCTCTCTCTTTCTGCTCTTTTTAATGCCGGGGCTTAAGGACCCTCCCTTTCTCTGGGATCGATCAGACGCGACCGCGGTAACAACGTATCGGTGGTTATTCTTTGGGATTAGGGTGTTTGATGCATTATTAACTAGATACACCGCTGCAGGTTTCCGCGATGAATGGGAAACGGGATTTATGCGCGACGGGGGAACGGTTAGATCACCTAGATCGTGAAGATGCCTCTGAGGTGAGTAGCTGTGGCAGGATGACCGTGTGTGAAGGTTTGTTAACCCACTGGTATCATTTGAAAAAAAAAAATGGGCCCCTAAGACGAAATTTGTCTGTTACATTTAATTACAAATAGCTCAGAAAGTATTTTAAAGAAACTTAATATTCCATTGATTTTGAGCGATCTAGACTAATTGTTTTCAATGACACACTATTATCGAGAAAAAGGATGAAGTAGGGTCATCGGGGGTGTTTCCTACACTCAGTCAGAATCTGCCTTTTTAATCTGCTTATCTTAGGCTGTCCATTCGTAGTCCGACGTGATATAAAAGTCTGTGATCACTCACGATGTGAATGCGCTTATGATAAACGTGTTCGTTGTCTTCAAATAAAGTGAATCATCCGAAAATTTGAAGTATTTCTATCGAGTACTTCTTAAATTAAAAATTTTGAAATTAATCAATTCCAACTCCATATTTACCACTAAAACAAAAGTATTCGCAGTTTCTTTCCCCCAGATAGGGGTTGAACTAGTATTCGGTATCCACAAACCATCCCAAACTGTCCATTCATGCACACAACTGAGGGAAAGGTTGCCTAATTCGGACCTCCACCTACGATGGGCCACTACTGTAGTCATACACATCTATATGATAGACAATATGCATGCCTATGATACTGATGATTACATCTAATTTAACGTAATAAGCAACACATATTACCTATCATACGGCGGCAATTGCTAACGCATGGTCAAACTAATGTACTTATCCAAACCTAGGCGATGGTCCCAAACTCGGCAACCTTCCCCTATTAACACTCTAGAAATACTTTAAAACAGGTGCAGTAGTACAAAAAAACTTCAAGAAACGAGTTCGCTCATTCCTCCACGAACATCAACGTCCCCAAAACATCTCCTCAACTCAAACCAGTCTCCCCATAAAACAACGAGAATACTCCAAAAGAAACCTTAAAAAAAAAAGAGAGAAAACACAAAACGATATATCGGCTACACGAATCCCGTCATCCATCTACACGAGTCACGCGTCGTGTCGGCCTCGATATCGAAAAATATCAATAATATCCACAAACAACGGGAGAACGAAGGTAGGGGAAGGGGGGGTAGGAGTGGGGGGTTCGGCCAAGCGTCCGCGTATCGTCAAAGAGAAACAGAGAGACAGCCAGCGTGTCAATCAGTCAGCGGAAAGAGAGGCAGAATAAACGAGAAGAGTGCGGCCCGCCGAGTACCTGGTAAATCGCACAACGATTAGTTTGTTGCCAATCACTTTTTCGCGCAATTATTTCACAACATTTCGACATGACGTACAAACCGACCGGAGCGAACGATATCCACGAGAGGGGGTTCGATGGGTGGGTTTCCCGCCGAAGGTGAAGGGGTGAGGGGTCAGCTCATGGACGCTGGAGGGTCTATCGGAGGCGATGGATTCACGCGGGAGGCGGGGGAAGGGATGTAACACATGCACGTGGCACGGTCAATGCATCCGCTATCCGACAAATGCATGAAACCCATACTCCCCCTCCCCCTCTAAGCCCACCCCTTTCGTACTCGAAGCGCACGAAATTTCCCCGACTACTACCCTTCCAAACCCCCCTCCCTCTTGGCCGCCTCTTCTACCGATGCATGCACGCAATCCGCCAATGTTAAATGCAACATTTGCCTCTCCACCTATCTACCTTCATCCTCTGACGGACCATCTCGCGTGTTTCGCTCGTGTTTCTCTCTCTGTCCCTCCGCCTGGTCGTCGCTACTGTCTGTCCTTTTCCCTCAGCTATGTATGGACATATGGATGTCTCTCTGTCTCTACCCATCGCCATCGCGGTTCCCCGCGGTCCAGGTTACGTTTACGTGTTTATCGTACGCGCAGGAACTTTATCGACTCGTGTCAATCACTCGTTAGCAGCCCAGGGGAAGTGGGGCGAAGGGATGGTGGGGTTGGCTAAGAGATCGTCTGGTTTGAGTATGGTAAAGTGGATTCTGATGGTGAAGATTTGTTTGCGGAATGTTGGAAGATGGTCGGTACGCGGTGTAAGTTTTTTCTTTTCGCGATGCTTGAACAGTTTTTGAAATTACCCAATCTGCATATAACAATAAGTTTCGTAAAATAAATTAACTAGATCTGTCCCGAAAGTGATCTTCAAATTCCTTCATAATAATGGAAACAACCCAATCTGAATACAACAAAACATTTCGTAAAAACTTCTCCTAAATCCGTTCCAAAAATGATCTTCTAATTCCTTCGTAATAATCGAATCTACTCAAACTCAATGAAAAAATGCGTTTCGTAAAATAAACTCGCTGGATCAGATTCCAAATATGATCATTGAAATGAATTCGTAATAGTCGAAATTACTCGACGGAAAGCAGATGATTCGACGATAAAATTCCGGCAATACGTTGTCTGTGATCGCAGTCACGACTATAATAAAGCGGAAACGTTCGGTAAATGGTTCGACCAATTTCGTGTCGGCGCCGCCCGCCCGGCGGAATTACTGTGAATAAGGAAATCCGCGATAAGAGGCACGGTAATACATCATTGGATCCTGCCGCTTGTCTAATATTATGGGCACCAATCGTAAGGGCTTAATATTGGGGTGAAGGTAAGTGGCGGACCAGCTGACGTCCTGCTCCACCCCGCACGCACGCTGCGACTCGTCTTGAGGGTGTGCGGATGAGATTTAGGGACCGGCGACAGAAGTCTGCTGGCGACACTGATTTGTGGTGAGCTTTGTTTCAACACTCTAAACGCCGCCGGATGACTAAGATTCTTCTGACCCGCTCGTCGATTCACGACTTATTTCACTAACGTATTTCCAGTGGTTGTAATGACGCGAAATTAGCTATCATGAATTAAAATATGGAATCTTGGAAAAATGGACTTTGAACAGAAAGTTGTCAATGAATTACCATTGATAGAACTATTCTAGACTCATTCTGCTAGCAAATACAAGTGACACATTTTTGTTAAATTGAAAACATATTTATTAAATTTTTGTTTAACTTTGAACAAAAATTGTTCAATGAATTACGATTGACAGGGGCGCATTCTCAGCAGTTGTAATGAAACTAAATTATCTATCATGACGCAACTTCTATTTCTAAATTTCTTTTAATGTATTTTTGGAAAGGTCCAGAATTGCTTTGTTGTTAATCAATTCTCAGAAACAAAAGGAATTCTACACATGCTACAACTGTAAATTCACACTAAATGTTCCCTGTGGATACCAGGAAAAGAATATTTCACCTCGACGTAAAGAAAAGGATAATCTGACTCGTTATCATCAGTCAGGCAAAATGGATGTTTACATAAATATCGATTTTTGAAGATTTATTTACAGATACTAGAAACAAACAGAAATTTATTCTCTGTACCAGAGGATCTATCGGGTCCCACGTAAAAACCGTGTTAAAATTTATTAAACCTTTTAATATATACTAAATTTGTGCTATAAATGCATAAAATTTGAAATCCAGTTATAAGTAGACTACAAATATAATATTTATGCAAAGATAAGGTCGATATTTAGAGACTAACTGACGAAAACTGGAATCGAAGAAAAATGTTTTTAGACTGTAAGGTCTCCATTACATATCAAATAAAAGAAAAACCTCGTGAGACATTATTGAACGTCATGCTATATTGAGTTTCAAGTAATTCTGTAGGTACCCTGTAACTGTATAAAATTCGCAGTCTAGTTCCAAGGCAAGGGGTTCAATTCGTGCCTCAAAAAAACGTACTTTATATGTATGTTACAATTCCATAAAATCCGCAGTCAGTTCAATTTTCTATTATTCGACCAAAACGTCGACAAACTTGCATACATCTGGACAAAGTAGTCTATCACATCAGTCCTCTAACAAAAGGTCATTTAATAAGTTCTCGGATTAGAACATATAGTTGACGTCGGTAGTTAAAAAATCTTCAATTCATCAAAGATTTTCATTTGTTATATAAATAACTATTATTAAGTAAGTGTACTACATAAATATGAATAAATGGGATTTTTATGTGCCGCGTCTCCTAACAATCGAGCAAGAGCGAATTCGAATGGCAGTGTCCCAACAGTGTTTAAAACGATGATCTATTAACTTGAAATATTGTTGGTCAAACTGTTGGTCATACTCAATAAAAAAAAAATACATGAAACAAAAACAACCATACTTGAACAGTTGTCAAGTATCTGGAATAAAAGTTGCGGTAAACAAAATCAACGATACCAAAATTCAGGCCTTGAATGGTTAAAAAGGATTCAAAAAGTGGAGCAGATCACTTTGGCCCGTCAGAAAACGTCTGACTGGTAAAACAAAGAAAGCATAAACGTTTCAAAAACGTCTTTCCATTCCACTCGAAAAAACACCCAGAAGACACCGGCGGGTACATACGTGACACGTCTCGGTAGATCATCGCACACACGTGGGGAAGCATAGAACAATTACCAGAATGCGGTCGCCTGTCATGATTGCCGCCCAGTATAGCGTTTACGCTGAACTTGAGCTGCGGCTTCTCCTTCTCCTGCAGCGTCCTGCACCCAGGTCCTAAGCACTGCTCATCGCCGCAGGAACAGGCGGTCGTCCTCTCGGCTATCCTGTCCGCGACACGCTCGACCGCCACCGTCGTCGTCTCCCTCTCCTGAATCGTGATCTCGTCGACGGCCGTGTGAATGACGTTTCTGCAGCCAAGGTCGTACCGTCTGTCCTGATGCACAGTGACATGGTGTTCGCCACCATGGATCGACTCCTCTTTGTCCCCATGAAGACCACCGGCCTCGATCTCGACACCATTTGGATCCTCGTCCGCGTTCGAATTGCACGAATCCATCCCTGAGCTGGATCTGTTCTCGATCCTCTCGTTGCAGAGCCTCTCCATCGCGCACAGACGATCGACGATCCCGTGGCCCTCGACCCTCTCGTTCTCGACGTCCACGTACGCGATCTGACCCCTCTCCATTAAGCCCTCCTTCTCCCGTAGGATCTGCATACGTTCGTTCTGACGTTCGATCCTCGCTCTCTGATGATCCCGACAGTCGATCATCGGATTCCCTCGATCCGGCCCGCGTACACCGCGTTGATCCATGTGTTCCTGACTGGATAGCTTCTCCCTGGTGATCCTTAGATTCGCCTCGCACTCGCGTTCCCGTTGTCTAGCTACTAGACTCGCTGCCCAGTTCAAGGTCAGGCTGGTCAGATCGGCGGCACCCGGCGACGCCTTGCTCTGGAGCAGGTTCTCCATCAAGAAAGGCGAGGTCATTGCACTCTGTTGCAGATTCTTCAGCATCGCCGCTGACGAAGGGAACATATCACAGCCCCCCCTCCCTGACCACCAGTCCCCACACTTCGATCGGTTTTTTCCTTCCGAGGGCTGATCTTTCCTTGCCCCAGAGCACCGTTTGAACGCGCACACGCGTTTTCTTACTGTCACTTGCGATTAACTAGACGGAAACTCGGTCATGAATGTTCGCTGGGTCTTTCCATTCGCTGGAATGTCCACTTGTGTGATACACGTGACCTGGAAACACGTGTCACGTCGACTGACCCTGGAGGAATAGAAGTCACTGACACGATCCAAAAGATCGTAAAGTTCTCCACTACCCTTCGACCTGGAAACACGTGTTACGTCGACTATTTAGGACTATAAGTCACTGACACGATCCAAGAAGGTCCTCGAGTTCGCCACTACCCTCTGATCTAGCGCAACTCTCGTCTATCGGCATAACACGTTGCACAGCAAAGGGATCTAACAGTTTACACCCTCTTCCCCAGAACCCCCTGAAATCACAGCTAACCTTTCAGCCAGTCCCACAAAGACACAAAATACACGGGTCACAGAGTCAGCTTAACAAAATATCGTCGAATCTCTCGGGACATTTCATCTGCGACTGGACGCGAACGAAACGAAGAACAGCGTGTCGGAACTGACGTCGCGAAGGACGACACAGCGTCAAGGAACGCGCGTATTTCGGCAGCGGGATGTCAACTGGCGTGTGTCCACGAACGTGGCGGCAGGGAGAAGGACACAGGGAAGGATGGAAACCGAGAGAGAAGGATCGCGAATGGGGTGTTCTCGTCGTTGGCAGCGCAACGTGAGAGCCGTGCAGCCCTCGAATGAAAGGCCGACAAAGGCATACAGCTAACTCGCTCTGCCCCCCCCCCCTTCCCGTTTGGCTTCGTGGAGGTCCTCGAAACACAACCCCCCATTCGACGTGTACGTCAGCCGTCCGTGTGTACGGGAGGAGGGGGGAAGGAGTGTGTTACTCTGTACCCATCCCCCCACCCCTCCCACCGTTCCACCCCTTCGACGGGGGTCTGGCTCTCTCTCCCCCCACCCCCTCTTAGGTGAGATAATACAGACTATAAGCCGAGCAATTCGGGGTTTGGCTCGCTCGGTAATGCCGTAATAAAATCATACTCCCATCAAACGGCGCTGCGCGCACCACCACCACCACCCTTCGCCTCCGACCTCCCTCCCTTCTCGGTTCGTTTAAAGGTAACCGAGGGACGTAGCGACGAAAGGAGAAAGAGAAGAGTGTACCAGAGGGTCCGTGTAGAGACTCTGAGAGAGCGTTAGGGGATGAACGAAGAGAGAGAGAGCTAGAAAAAAGCCAGGAGGACTCGCATTCCTTTGCTCCTAACGATTGGATTTTATTTGACGGAGCGGACCAACGGACCGTCCAATCGTACGCTTCGAGGGTAGTCCGTGGCCACGCCCACTAGCGCCCCCCCTCTCCACACATCTGAGCCGCGTGTTTTCAGCTAGGTCTTCTCTTTCTGTCCTTCGTCTCGAGCAACCCCTCGGCTTCTCGGTTACTTTTGGCGCGCTCTGTCCTTTTTCATTGTTCGAGGAGGGGATTACACTCTCCTTGGATACCGCTTTCTCCGTCTTTTATTCGTTCCAACGTTGTTCGCGCGAGTAGGGGGTTCCCTCTACACCCTTATCAACATTATTATCTACCACCGGCCGCGGCGTCGTCGCGTGTGTTGTTTCTCCTTGTCGGTGTGCAGGTGTGTGTGTGTGTGTGTGTCGGTTCGGTGTTGCTCCGAGCGTCTATAGTACGGTGTGTGCGTTTTTTGCACGTGTCGTACGAGATCGTTTCCGGGCGACGCGATTTCCGGTGGACGGCCCGGGGAAGAGTCGTGAACCACCGGCCACTTTGCCAGAGATTAACCCTTTTAAGTAGTCGCATTCAGAGAATTACACGAATGGTCGCATAGGGTATCAGGATACCCTATCATTTAGTATCAAGCTTTTGTTCAACTATTGCTTTTAATCCTTTAGCTACCAGTGTTACACGGATGCAACACTCATTTTCAAAATCAAATTCTGTCGCCGGTTAATATCTAACTTTTGTCGGTAAGGATCTGTAGTTTCACTGATGTGATTTCGACCTCCACGTTGTCAGTTGAGATATTCAGGTATTCCCTCCAAACATAAATTTAAAAAACGAAATGGAAAAATATGTCTGTTTAATATCGGTATTTTCGACTTCGGAAGAACAAGATTGAACACATACAGGGTATCCCACCTAACGTGAGCGACTTCAATGTCTCCCTTATTTTTGAAGATACAAAAAAAAATATGTGAGGAAATTCAGTGTATGTATCAAGAAAATGAATACATTTTTGTATGATTTTCATTTTATCTGAGACCTAATAGAACCTTCGACGCAGTAAAGAAATTTCTGTTTGATTTTAGAGGTTCCCTAAATAAATCTTTAAAGAATGATACATACAGAGAGTGCCAAAAATATTCGTACCCTCGCAGTTTTTGAATTCAAATGACTAATAATTCTTTAACAGTATTATAGTCTAAAATGTTTATCAATAGGGATGTGTAGTGCAATGACTAAGCCTTCGAAGGCGGCGTTGTTTATTGAAAAATAACAATTTAAAGTAATGTAAACGAAAACTCATAATAATATAGTAATACCGTAATATATTATATAAATTCATAGTAACATAAATGAAGCTCACAAAAGTATTTGTACTTGTACCAGTATGATTTGCTTAAGTTTCCATTTATGTATGTTACTATTTCCAATTAATGATATATCATTCGAAAGCTCAGTTATTGCACAATATATCCTTATTGATAAACGTTTCAGAATGTATAATAATTAAAGAATATTAATAATTCGAATTCAAGAACTGCAAGGGTACGAATACTTCTATGACTATTTGCATAAACATCTACTAATAACCATCAGCATATTAAAGAAAACTACACCAAACAGTTAGAAGCTCAGTATTCTGAAGTACAAATGACCAATTAACCCGTCCACCTCAGTCATCGCACCACCACGTCTATTCCCCTACGATCTATCCCCGTAGCCCAACAGTCACGAACCGAACCATAGACCCGACTCAAAATCCTCGAATCGCCACAGTATGCGCGTTCGTCCGGCGGAAATGTCACTCGGGTTAATCAAACAACAATTAACAACCATCCCTCACGTTCTCAATACACCCAACTCATGTTCCCATTTCCGTATCAACCAGCCGTTCGTCCATCGTGTCTTAATTAGATTCAAAGACAGCTAACAATCGACGTAATAATCCACCCACCGGTCATCGAAACCTCACGGAGTTAAAGGAAAATAACAATAATCGCAGAGGGGTAGAGAAAACCGACAATAATCGCAGACAGAGTAGAAAGAAGACAACGATCATCGTTTAATCAGAGATGGGGGGTGGGGGGAGGATGAAGTGGTCGAGAACATATTCGTGGGGGCTTAAGTAGAATCGGTCTACCAAAGAATCGCGAAAAGGGTTGGAAGGGGGATTGGCGAGAGCCTCGATTCGACGGTGGTATCGCCGCGGCGTTTTTTCTTACACCGGTTTTTTCGAGCCTCGGTGGCCGTCCACCAGCCCCACGTGGCGTCGGAGGGTGGCGCAGCCAACGGGAGTTACGTACGCCGAGGCCACCCTTTCCTCTCCACTCGACCCCCTTCGCGCCCCCCACCCCTCCCGATGGGACGCGACCACGGCCACGCCTACTCTTCGGGAATCACCTCCACCTCGTCGACGTCACGACTTATCACCCTCTCAGCGATGGTGGTGGGCGCCCCCACCCCCTGGCTCTAAGGGGGTAGTAGTGGAGGGGGTGGGTGGTTTGAGGCAGAGGAAGAAGTGTTGGCGAACGGGGGAAGGAAAAGAAAGGGGAAGAAAAAACGAACACGAAATAATGAAATGAACATCGCGGCTTCTCGAGAGGGGAGGCACATTCGTGGAATTATTATAAGAGTTCCGGCGACGGGTGGAGGGGAGGTGGACTGCCATGGCTTGTATAAATTCGAGGCGCTGCCCTCCCCACCTTCATTTTAGCAGGATGATGGGGGGGGGGGAGGATTCGCTTTTGTACCGGAGGCGAATAATTATTCATTCATCGAACCGCCCCTAAATGGGATATCAAAGTTTCAAAACGGCCGAATAATAAGGTTTTCGAACGCGAACTGTTTTTCCGACGCCACTACGGAACGGGGGGTAATTAATCGCGGAACGAACGATTCTCTGTTGTTTCCTTGTCTTGGGCGTGATTGTAGGGGTGATTACGTAAATTACGGATTTTATGCATTTGTAGCATGCTGAAGTATGTGCAATACTGTAAAGGATAAAAGTTCGGTTAAGTTTGTGGAACTTTCTTGGGTTATTTTCATTTCACTTGCAGCTGCGAAAAAGAAGGAATTCTCTATTTTTAGTTTTATTTTACTATAAATGACTTCATGAAATAACATTTTCCATCAAAATCCACAGAATGAAATTGAATTTTTTTTCTTTGCGTCCAGTTCTGAGAAATTAATCGATAAATTTAATTTGTAAAGTGAAAAGTTTCAGCAAAGTGATGAATGTTTATTTTTAATTTAAAATTGTTTTCCTTTGATCACCTAAAATTCGGTATAGCAAAAATTTTCAAGAAGTGTATGAATTGTTGTTTTTTATTTTGAATTTTTTCATTACGCCCAATTTCGAGGAATTAATCCGTCAAATTTTATATTTGAATAAACATTCGGAATCTAGAGATTAGTGTACTTAGATTCAGAGAACATTAGGAAAAGATATTTTGGGGAATATTCTGAGAGTGTATTTGACATGTGCTGTTTATGTGACATTGCTTGGATTGGTTGGAAAACCAGTAGATTTAAAGTATGTACAAATGATGAAGTACTAAGACTTTATTTATAACAATGGACGTATAATGAAGCTTCGTATTTAAAATCCCTCGTATTTAAAACGTATTTCTACGTATTTTAAATTCCCAAAATTCGTAACACTAAATACCAAAAATCCATTCTGACCGAATGA